GGCTATGAATGATGTGTTCAAGCAGCTTGCAGATGATTGACGTCAATGAACCCGGACGGTAATTTGCAGGGTTGGCACGGTCACTTTTCTTGTAGATAGGTGTGATATTGGCCTTCAGCGAATCTCTAGGAAGAGCACTGCTTGAAACAGACTTCTGAAATAATTTCTGTAGTATGGGAGCAATACTGGTTGAGCAAGCCTTCAAACACGCGCTGTGATTTCATCTGGGCCAGCAGCCTTGCTAGGATTGAGCTCAGCAAGAAGTTTCTCTATGCCATCAGTAGCGATACATAAATCAGAGATGTCAGGAGTACTGCTGTGTCCTAAGTGAGGGAAGTCTGTCAGCCTCTCTTTGGTAAAGACGGAGCAAAATTGGTGGTTTAGAGCCTCTTTCCTTAGCACTGGAAAGAACCTTGCCGCCAACTTGTAAAGGTGACACACCAGAAACTTCTTTCCTTCTAGACTTAATAAACTTCCCAAAAGGTTTGGAATTATCTGTTTTCAAGCTGGCACAAATAACATCTCTAATATAAGACCTATAAGCTCTTCTAATCTTTCTCTCGACGTCTCGACGAAGCTTCTTGAATTTAGACCAGTAGTCGGCAGAACCAACTCTTTTGGCCTTGTTATAGAGGCGTTTCTTCCTGTTCACTTCTCTCTTGATGGAGCTATTTATCCATGGATGTGAGATATGACTGGAAGTCAATCTGGCAGGGGTGTTTTTCTCAATAGACGCTGAGAGTGCTGTTATGAATAAGATATACAGGTCATCAATTGAGTTGGTACTAACAACATTCTCATCCAGGTCAGAGTTAAACTTGGTCATGTCGGCATTTATCCCAGCAAAATTCCCTCTGTTGTAATGGAAAACTCTGCGTCTCGGAGGTCTGGTGATCTTTGGTTTAAGGATAGCACCCGCAGTGACCATATCATGATCACTTAACCCCATGCATACACGAACATAATCGGCTGCGGCAGGTGTGTTAGTAAGACACAGATCAAGGATGTTCTGATCTTGGGTGGGCTCTCTCACCAATTGATGCAAGTTGTGGTCATTAAAGGTATCGATCATGTGTTTACTGATAGCAGGATATTGACCACATGGCTTAAAGTTAAAAGCAACAGACTCCCAGTCAACATCTGGTAAGTTGAAGTCCCCCAGGAGCCAAACACTAGCATTTGATGGAATTTTGGCAAGTGACTTATCAAGCTCCTTGGCATAGTCAATATCAGAAGGTGGTCTATAATAAGCCCCAATAAAAAATTGGGGAAAGACCAGTAACACTAATTGTAATCCAGATAAGTTCACAATCAGTCTGTAAGCCTTTGTCAACAGAAGCAATGAGGTTATTTCTGACGGCAATAAACACTCCACCACCTCCACCGGGCTTTTACGAAGAGGTCTTCAGATGTAAGCAAAGCTTCAAAATTTGGAACCTTATTTTTGACACTGCGGCAGTTGTAAATAATCTTCAAACTGGTAGTACGCTGTTTGTGCACAGGTAATTTCCTATGTGGTTGTTTCCTTTGGCTTTTATGACTAGAGAAATAGATCGGTTCACCCAAAGATGAACCAGAATGGACGCTATCAAAAGACATATCAGTTAAAATACTCCCTGCTTCCAAACTGTTCGAAAACACCGTAACCATTAGATACGTCAAAACCCTGTAGACTTTCGAAAAGTGAAGTTGAAAAATTTGGCAAACCACACTGTAGGCACGTCCAGGAATATGATGGGTGGTCTCTTAAAATGTTGTACAACTGGTCATTCATCTTAACGCAACTAACATGAAACCAGTCATTACACTGGTCACATTCAATGGCTTTTTGACCCCATTTATAGCAGCTTTCTGGCATACCTGAGAAGGATACTTCGGTGGCTTGGGACCTGGATTCATTTCAATATCTCCGGCCAGGAGAACGATAAGACAAAACTGAATTAGGTTCTTGCAGTCAACAACAACTGGGTTTAATATACTGGGTCTGGTGTAGCGAGAAGAACAATAGAAAGAGCTCACCAGGTTCACCTCAGAGGCAGCATTGTGGTTCAGTGGAGCTGTCCAATGCACTCTCACGAACGGATTGGTAGGTTGTAACACTTCTGGGTCCCAAGTAGACATTTTGACGCGAACAGAAATCACAGTCATAAGTAGCTTAGTCCAATATGTCCTTATCGAACGTATAGAACACCGATGACGCAGTACTGGAAGTTTACACGTAGACCACTGAGTAAAAATCCAAGATGGCAGGATGTACACACTCAAAGTTAAAAACAAAGTCCTTTTCAAATTCATCAAAAACGGGTTAAAAAGCAGAATACGCGATCCAACAAGTACTTGAATTAATTAAAATACATTCGACGCTAAAAAGAGTAAGGATGGCTAAAACTAAAAGAGAAAAACCGCAACCAATCCCTTGCAGAGCGCCACCTTGAGTTCATTTCCCGGTCATGTCTGTAGCTCAGTGTCCCAATAAACCCCTGTAAGACTGTTTTGTGGTTGGCAATACACCCATGGGGTCCCCTTTCTTTCTACTATTCATTGGTGCTGTGAAAGTACAGTAATACAAGTCACAACCCAAATAGCCGTAACCTGTCGGCACATGTCCGTTCACAGAGAGAGATTACTGTGAGAGGTCATATGGGGAACCAGGGAATACTTGTCTTTAAACAGGCCGTACCCTGCAGCGGTCAAAGCTAGGTTAAAGGGACTTGGTAGTCTTAAAGGACATAAGTAGCTCGAGGATTACAAAAAAAATTCAGCTTAATTCAACCCCCAAAAAAGGTCATTTAAAAATACGATGACCAGTTATGCGCTTTTTTATCTCGGTGGTTTACTGAAGGGCGCCACTGGCAGACAACTGAACCTTGCTATCCTGGAATTGCTGTTGTTACGTATGGAAACACCCGCAAACTATAAGCCTGGTGCATCACATGCAGCAGCACTGAAGATCAATCAATGAAAAAACACAGAACGTGAAAAAAGTGGGACAGAAAAAGAGAGTAACCAGCAATTAACAAGACAGGGGAAACCATAGTTGCATTGTTATACAGAGAAAGTAAATTGTGCCATATTTAATTACATTCCAAATCTTGAAATGAGGGCCAGAACAAAACCAAATATATTGAAGATAATACAACTTATACAATCATAAATTAATGAATCGGCCGATTCGTTATCAATGGAAGGACTGGAGAACATAGGAAGAAGACAGAATGCCATGTCGCTCTGTTAGCTGATGGTCCTGGGCGCGGCGTGACATGTACGCATAGTACAGCCTCCGGTTGCTGACGTCACTTCTTTTGTGCTGGTCCACTGATTGGGCGTGGCCGATTGGCTTGGCAGAGGACAGACAGGGCTCATATCAGTCTTGACTAGCAAGGAAGGGTCTTGTGGGCACAGACAAGGTGTTGCTCCGTGCCTAACTGTTCATGGTGTAGGTTAAAGTGACCTGTAATGGTGTCTTGTGGGGGTGAAACGGCCAGGGTGCAGAGATGACTAGCCGCACCCATGTGGACTGACCATGTAGCTTGACTGCAACAGTTTGTCTCCAGCAAATGTCAGCGGTCCGCCAGCCAAAGGTGATATGGCTAACAGCTTGGTAGGTACTTGGTTGGTAAGGGAGGGTCTACCCAGTTTATACTGGACCAGTACATACCTACTATCCACTCAACTTGGATTTATACAAAAGGAATAGTTTAAGAGATTTGGGCCCTGGCTGTCCTAGCCTGGCCAGGAGTGAGGAATTCAAATCCCTGATTGTAACAATATCAATGAATCGGCCACAAAAATAACAAGAGACCGTCAAATGCAATTGTCATTTCATTTAATAAGGAAGTTAATTAGTAAAAGAAAAATCTTTCAAGCAGAGATTTTCGAACTTGCCTGTATCACTTCCCGTCCTGGTGGACAATCAGTAAGACAAGGCAGCCAAATGAGAGTTGCAGACAACTTCACCATCACGTTCTCTACTTCAGCGACATTCAATCGTTGAAGAAACCGTCTGAAAAAATGTATACAGTGAATGCTATGTGGGGATGGATGAAATCCACAGTCATCGACATCTTCAGGAATATGAATTTGCTCATTCACTGAAATGCATGCCAGCCGTGAACAAGACATTTTTTGTAGTGGTACTACGCTTATCTTGAGAACAGTATCCACAGATTCCTTTAAGACTTTACAGTGCAAAGGTCTCAGAATTTCCTGTCAATTTGGAATGACAAAGGGAGTCTAAACAATAAATTGTTGTGAATATACAACATTACAAGACTAAATTGTGTTTGGTAGTGACATCAACGATACAGACACATGAATCAACCAGTTTTTTTTTTTTTTCTGTAGGGTAGCAGAAGGATGCCTCATCTATGTGAAGAGATTAGAAGAATGAAGCATACATGGTACAAGGCAAAGTACCCGGTCATCTCATGGAATAAATTCTGTTCTAAAGTCAAAGCCGTGAACAGACTTGCTGATGATAATCTCATCAGGACCGCAGCTGTCTTTCTGACAGATATGAGTGAGGTATGGATGGATGTCAACCACTATTACGTGAAGATAAAATAAAGAGTAAAAAAGGTCTAGAGAGTCAGAAAATTTGAGCTGTGGGTTTTTCACCTCTACTGAAATCCATCACATTTTGACATTGTTCTTGAAAAATGCCCTCCATTGTCAAGAGAGCATACCCTAAATCATTGCTGGGGGTGAACCAAGCAACATTGCAACAGCTTTTGCCATGTCAGAGTTGGTTGCACTATGAGGGTTCTAACATAAATTGTTAATGTTTCTCAAACAGTAGTACATGAATAGTAAAACTTTTTTTACGTTTCAAACGAAAGAAACTGTTCATGATCGCCATATCATATTTGTGTACTACAGATATACTTCAAGAAGCAATGTGGGGATATGGACTGGGTAGTTCTAGAGCCGAGGTGGCTCAGTTGTGTCATCATTGGCCGGATGTTTGCAGGAGAAGACTTCCCTGGTCACAGTGATCGTCTTGACAAGAAGCAGCTATACTCAATTTCTGATATCAGAAAATTGTTGAAGGATGTTGCTAATGTGTACAATTTGTTGGATCTACTGCAGCATTTAGAGTTGATCTATCACTATAATGAGACCCATTATATCATACCAGCCAGATTACCTACCAATTTGGACCCGGTGGTTTGGAGTAAAGATACTCGTTTCACCGAATATTATGGGCGCAGAGTTGAGTGCAGGGATATTACTGACATCTTCTCTCCTGATGTCTTTCCTTGTCTACAAGTACGAATTATGAGATGGTTTTGTGATGGACATGGAAAGGTAGCTATCTCAAGGCAGTCACTCAAGTTTTCGGGAAAAATTGAAGGTATGATTCAACTTACTGGTAATCAAAAGGCAATTCACATATGTGTACGAGGACGATCAGGCAAGGAAGATAGGAGTGCATGTTACTTCCAACTGGAGCATGTGTTGGGGATGGTCCTGAGTGAGTTGGCACAGAGATCACCAGGTACGGCCATTAACATCTGCTACCTGAGTCCAAGATCACTGCTACAACATGAAGACTTGGGAGATATCTTATTCTACACAGAGACAGATGTAGAACTTGCTAAGCAAGGAGTAGTTGTACACCCTCAAACAAGAAATACAGAGCTAATTGCTGATATATTCTGTGCTGGGTATGACAGCACGTTCCTGCGGCGTGAAGGGTTAGAATGCAACAGCTCTTGGCTTCTAGAGGAAGACTTACAAGCTCTGTGCAGACGCTTAGATGTCATCCATCCACTGGGGCAAGATTACAGAGCACTGGCTGAGGCACTGGGGGTGTCTGAGTCAGAGCTTGATTACATCTATCAGATATGTCTACGAAGAGACTCTTCACCAACAAGGGCATTACTAGACCGTTGTCAACCGACTGTTGGACAACTCAGGGCTATTTGTCGACATCCTGGTCTAGTGGGCAACAAAGAAGCAACAGATGTCATTGATGCAATGCTGGAAAGATTTGGGCACAAGGTAAGCTTGAGGATCAAAAGACAGAACAAACAACAAAACAAACTATCAGTTCTGTCACTTTATCACAGACCTTTTACCTAGGAAATAACTAAGATTTGATTTTCAAGGCATCTTCAAAGAAACTAAAGTTGAGGTTTAAATTTAATAAAGGATGATTTCTGGTGTTCACGTCCATCTAAAATGTTGGCTGAATACAATGCACATACCATGACAGAAAATCATTTTCTCTCCAGGTGAATGACGAAGAATCCAAGATTACAGCTGGTAAGGCCTTAAATTTCTATGTCAGTTGTTTCAAATTTAGTTCCACCTTACGTTGGTACATTCTGAACAATTTCAAATTAGGCCAGAAAGTTACTGAAATAAGATTATCCTTTTTTCTTGGTAGAGGATGGTTTTAAACCTAACAGTATCAGTGTTGAGATACTGGTTTGGCGGGAAGACTTAAGACAACAAGCAAACAACTTGCGGGGGGTATTAGACCCAGCGTCACTCTTAGCAGGATGCGCCCATCTGTTTGATGCCAGTGACCAGGAAGAGATTGAAGCAACTCAGCAAATGCTGGGCAGGACCAAGGCAGTAGATAGAATGCTATATAAAGTCATCAAGTCGCAGCGAGTGGAGCTGTACCATGAATTCTATGGAGCACTAGAGATGCTGCAGAACATGGGAAAAGGTAAACTCTTATATCACATTACATGTATACATGTATACTAACTTGGAGGATACATGTTGACATTGACAAAATCAACTACCTCCACTGCAATAAATTATTACTGTTAGACATCATTACCCCATATGCTAAACTAATTAAATCATGAATAAGGAAGGTTCTGTTCAAACAAAAGTATTCACTGGTTCTCAGTGAACTATCGTGTTAGATATGGTTGACCAATGTAAGTTACTTCCACAAGGCTATTTACAATATTACGCAGAGTGGTATGAGTGACTGGATAAATGCTAACATTTGAAATAGAATTACAGTAGTTCTGTATTATTTATCAATCGAGAATATGTACAGATACATAATTACAATTAACTGCCAAGATAAACCCAGAAAGTAAAACTGTAAAGTGGAGAGGTCCTCTTGATAAGTGCAGCCTGAACAAAAGGAGATTTTCTGGAGCAACGTCACAATCTATGACAAAAATTGTTTTACAGCATGGTCGCTTTTGTCAGAATCTATTAATATGCTCTGGTTCAAATGTTCTTTGCTCTCCTCTATTTGTTTTGAAGTTGTTGATGCTTTAACTGAGGTAATTCCCAATTCTGAGGGGTCTTACAAGGACTACATTATACCCCCTGCTAAACCTTCAGCAGCACAACTAGACTCAAATAATGTAAGTATATAATTACATGATGTATAATAATCATACCAAAGACGCTATCACTTCCAGACTTGTAAATAGAAAACATAACTGGATGTTGTCCAAGGCCCCAAAACTTGTAAAACAAAAACTTTTAAGTTGTGAATTGCCTATAAAATATGTTAAATAAACCATTAAATGGACTATACATTACAAAAATGGTTGCTTGTAGAAGTGAAGGTGTGAAGAATAATTGGTTATGGGCTTGAAGAGAAGAGTTCTAGCAACTGCTGTCTAAAAATACAATTTTTCCCTTATCACTTTTTAGAGCTACTGTATGTGGAAAGAGAGCAAGGGATTGGCCTATGTGTTGAATAACAGTGACTTCCATGGCAAGAGAAGGCAGGGTTCAGGGGTGGACCTAGGTAACATATGTCATGTCCTACAGGAACTGGGCTATGTGCTGCAAGTGCACACTAATCTAACAGCTAAGGTAAGCACATTAGTATGGCTAGCTTTAACTTCAACTAGCTTCAACTCTGTCTCTGGCCATCTCAGGTAAAAAACAGAGATATTCAGAGGTTTAACAAATGTAAAAGTTGAAAAATTGTTTATTAAATTCCTTGTCTCAGCACATTGATATACTTTGAATGTACAGTGTATTGCATAGTGAAATGTGATGAAGCCCTGCACAAACTTCCATTGAGTAAAAACTCTCTGAATTCCTCAGATTTGGACTTTCTATTCAGATCTTAAGTGGCAGTATCCAGTGTTTTGAGCATGGAGAAAAACCTTCATCCTTATTCACAATAAACAATGCTTTGGACTGGAACTATACCCAGTAAGATCACTGTAATGCATAGTGAAGGGTGTTGATGCATTATGATTAATGTTCCTTTTTCTCACCAGGATACACTGGACAGCCTGGCTAGGTTTGCCCGTCGATTTGATGGTACTGAGTTCTGCTCAGCTTTGGTAGTTCTTATGAGCCACGGCAATACTGGTGTCATCACGGGAGTGGATGACAATTGCATTAAACTGCGAGACATTTACTCTCTATTTGAGGGTCATCGCTGCCCGGTTCTACTTGGCAAACCAAAGCTGTTTTTTATTCAAGCCTGCAGAGGAGGTAACAACCAAGACTACGTGCCGATTTCCTTTTCTAGAAAGACTTCACTGCTCCTAAATAGAGATACCAAATATGTCTACCAATTTTGACAAGAAGTTTGGCTCTATCTTTGGATAAAATTAGCTAGAACAGAAAAAATCTCTACTTCTTTTAATCTGAAACTCTGTTAAAAACACAGCCTGTGATCATAGGCTGTGTTCTTAGCAGAGTTTTAATTTAAGCAGTATTTCAGCTAATAGATCAATTTCAATTTCCCCCAAGATATCAGGACACAGCTTGTTGAGGCTGACAGTGATGTCACCGAGTTAGAGCCTGAAGATCATTCGGATGAAGAGATTATCACAACCAACTTGCAAGCCGACTATTCATTTGCTCAAGATCTGCCTGGCAATGCTGATATGTTCTTTGCTTATGCAACTACAGAAGGTATACAAGAAATAAATTGATTGAAAAATTTGTTGAATAGCATTCAGAAACAAGTCTCTGAAATGACTGTTAGAAAACAGTGAACATATGACAGTATCAACAGAACATCAAATATTGAGCACTTGTTTGGAGTCCTACTTTCTGGAACTTCTGAATGTCTTATTTAGTGTCAGACTAGAACTTGCATTTACCCATACTTAAGTTGTTTTTAAGATTTATGAAGTGTCTTTTTAGTGAATTTGGCAACTATGCTTGTCGTCATAGGTAACATATCCCTTCGTAGTCAAGTTGCTGGTTCTTGGTTTATTCAAGCAATTTGTGAGGTGTTCATCAAGTGGGCTGCACAAGATAGCCTTGATGTACTCATGAATAAGGTAGGCTGTCAACATGGGACATGTACCACTAATTAATGCCCAATCCATTATAAATGAGTAATTTTTCTCAGAGTGAATTCTCCAAAACTTGTCACTCATGAGTTATGAGCCGTCAGATTCAGATAGTTTTGCTGATATGTGTTAACACATAACTGTCTTGACCACCATGCTTGCTTGTTAACAGGTTACCAACAGGGTGGCATGTCAACGAGGTGAGATTCGGGATCCTCTGACCCACAAACTAAAAGCTGCTTCACAAACACCAGAATGCATCAAACGTATGAGGAAAAACATGTACTTCATGCCCAAGTATCCCAACAGTTCCCAAGCAGGTGCAACCTGGATGTAACCAAGTCAAATTGTCTCTGTAGACATGATCTCCCCAGTCCATCAAATACACCTTCTTGTTTTTTGACAAGACTAACATGGAATTCAAAAGTATCAATTTAATAGACTACAGTCATCAAATATGTACATGCACTTGTATGTGCTTTGTTGCATTGCATCAAAATAAATGTAACCAAATCAGACACAGTTTTGTTCATTGAGATATGTTATTCAGTGGGCGTCTGCACAGGTGCTGTGAGGCCCATTCACAACAAACTGGGAAGGGCAAGGTACATGCACTGTACCCTTCATTTTGTAATTGTAAGAACCACACCCACATTATAAGCATGCCAGTTAGGTTCTTGTATGAGGCCTGTCTACACATTCCTTTTTATGGCCTGTAAATATGCCCAACATTTAGAGTGAAAAGTCTGAAATCAGGCTTTTGCCTGGAAAGAGATATCTGTGATACCATATGAGTTTTGCGAGGACCCAAACAATATGGCAACTTGCCTTACTATGTTGTTTGACAAAGGGTTAAAATAAGTGACTGTGTTTGGATATAGTGAAACTGTAGTTGAAATGGGGGTTCACATGAAGGCTCGATGGACATGATTAAAAGAAGTTGAAATGCAATGGAATTGTAACTTTATCATGAGACGGATAATTAAATGGAAATGATTGTTACATGTTAAGTCTCCACAATTCAGTCAATTTTTTCAAAGAAAAATCTTCCATACAGTACTGTACCATTAGGGGCCCAGTTCATAAGTGGATGGCTCAAGCTACACACTGCATGTATAATCATGATTCAATTCCACACAGGCAATGGGATACAAGTGTACGCACTATCCACCTCTAAATCTGTTACTTGAAGCAGATAGCCCTGAATATTGTTCTCATGAAGAAAACTGGAGGGTGGTTGAAGGTGCCACGGACTGTTTGTCAGTCCATTCAGCACACTCACTTTCACCTGGTTAAGTGCAGGAATTACAGGTCATTCAAACTCACACACAGAATACGGTAACAATTTTGGAATCACATGTACATAGTATGCTTTTATTTCTTACAAGTTACATGTTAAAAATTGTTTACAAAACATTCTTTTTACAAAGCTTATACATGAAGTACTTGTTTGTGGCCTGCATTTTTGAAACTGGGTTTTTCTACTGTACAGTATTAAGCCTATTGGTAAAATACAGCAGTATATATCATGTAAAAATAAAAGTACATTTTCAAACCAATATAACAGATACATAATTTTCAAATAATCATTACACGAACATAACAGCGTGTCGAGTGTGCAACAAATTTGACTTGGAAAAACATACCAATTATGCCAAAGCGGAAGTTGTTACACAAACTGCATAACGGTTCAAAATGAGTTACACATCTAAATTCTCCGTACGTATCCACCCACTTGTTCCAGTTATTTAGACATGCACTGCCCTATGCCACTTAACACTGACCTTGCTCTATTACATTCATGTCAATGCTTAAACTGTTCCATTAAACACACTAGTCAAGGCTTTTGACTTGCCGATGTATTTCTATTTCCTAAAATGTATAGACTCTCGGATTTGATTAGAGTCTGTAACTAGTTTTTTCCAATTTTAGCAATGTTTTCTAACTATATGAACATGTGAATCTCTGTCAAATGCTTTAAGCTTTGTTAACTTGTACCTGGTAGTTTAATGTTCTAATAGAGATGTAAATTTGTTTTCTTATCTTGTTACAGTAAAACAGCCTGGTAGTTTGGTCCAGATGAATTTGGCTCTCTAGATATTAAGTGTTTGTCAGCAGTTCTAATTAATGCTTATCATGATTTTGTTTTGATTTACTGAGTGCTAAACAGAACATATAGAGAGAAAAGACAACTTTAAGAACTGACATGACTTCAACACCATGTTTCCTTGATCCAATTCATGTTATTGCTTTGTCTTACATACCATAACATGTACAGAATTTACAGCCTTTCAATAATTACAGCTTGATCATGGCTTTTTTTTTCATTTCACTGGTTTGAAGGCATTTGCGTTCTTGGCCTCTTAACTGGCAAGTTGAAGATGAGTTGCTCCACACAAACATTAATTGTGTGCAAATTTTCAAGTTCACTGAATGCTGATCTGACATCAGGTAACAGTGGTGCAAAAATTCAATGGTTTCACTAACTGCTCATAATGCTTTTCTATTGGATGTTATAAATGACATGAAACTGCAGCATTCGTAAGGGGCATCTAGCATGGTTGACAGTCATGAAATGGAGACAGAGGCACCTATTATCTCCAAAAATTGACCAATTATTGTCAAGCACTTGGGTCCTCAAGTTTAAAGCATCTAATTCTACAATGAAGGTGCACAATCACCAAACTGCTTCAAGGATATACATGAACAATTTCTGTTTGTTTTTTCTGTCTGGGTGCTAGTTGCTTCAAAACACAAAAATAGAATCTGAAGTATTTAATTTGCAACATTGGTAGACTGATTGGCAAGTAACAGATATTTATCATATTCACAGTTTCATTTTTAAAAAGGTTAGAATTGGTTTCAGCACGGAGCTTAACAATCCAAGCAAAAAGCAGAATTATACACAACTAATGTGTCTTCATGTTATGCAGTGATTGCTGCATGCTGGAGGTTAGAGGTCACATCATCTTACAAAAATGGAACACAAGCAAGTCACACGCAACTGACAAATGCTTTTGTGCACACTCTGGCCTGAGAGTTGAATATTTCTAGTCTGGAAGCATTTCAAGTCCAGTTGCTGTTTGTCTATGCTTCCTCTACTGCATAGCATGTGTGATGCAGTGAGAATGGTCACTTTGCCAATAGATATAATGAACTGCATGACTATTTGTTCATATATACATGTAGCGGGATCCCTGTGAGCAAGTTATATGCTTGATTTCTTTTTTTTATTTCTTGCTGTGTTCCAAGGGTACATATATCTGCACTCAACGTACATATATCTGCACTCAACGTACATATATCTGCACTCAACGTACATATATCTGCACTCAACGTACATATATCTGCACTCAACGGTTATTTGAGCCTTGGGTCCAGGTAAACAAAAACTCATGGGGCAAATGTTTGGCAAATCTTGTCAAATGTTGTCATGAAAGGCATGCTGGGATGTCTGCAATGTACATGTACAAACAGCTCGGCAGACATCTGATCCATTTTGTGAACATGTCCACAAATCTCACTGGCTTCCAACCAAGCTTTTTTCAATTATCCACAGCTATCATGCAACATGGCTTCTACACCAGTCCTTCAACCAATGTAGTTCTTGCAATATCTTTGGTGATGCTTTGATTTTTTGCACACACTTGATGGGCTGCCCCTCCCCCATCGCTGCTAGCTTCCTGCTGTATGGCGTACAACTTACATATTATACAAAGGCTTCTCCGCAAATTACACTTTTTAGAAAATATAGCTCTACACTTGTGATTTTGAGAATCTCTGAATACTTTTAAGTCAACAACCTTTGAAGAATGCCCAGTGACACTCATCAGAACACATGACAAACTTTAAACAATTTTTTTCGTTTTTTTCTTTTAAATTTTTTATGCTCCAGCCATGGGCTGACATGGATTTGTCCATACTAATAGACTTCCAGATTGCTGTACTCTGAACTTACTGATTACAGCAGCAGATATTTATTTGGTATATTACCAAACCCGAAGTAATTATTTCATAGAAAAATCACAGGTGAGTTCAGAGCACTTGGTTCGATACCCATGATTTCATACCTTCATAGTTTCTTTTCTCTCATGGGCAAATGCCATTGGGTTGGCTGTGACGGTCAGTCCAGAGTCATTGGTGTCTTTAATGACCAATTTCTCTGGATTGACTTTGCTTCCTTTGTCTCTCTGTTGTCTAGCTGTGATGGGCAGTGTGGGATGCATGTAAGATGTTATGGGTGGTTTGCGTTGACTATCTGGTAGTCTCTTCACTCCACCTGAAAGCAAAGCAGGCACAAGAAACTTGGCATGTATAAATCATCCCTTGAAGCAGAGTCTCCATCACGAGGTTGGGAGGAACATGTATCTTTCTGGACACATTAGTAGGGTGCAAGGAGTCCTCTCTGTTCATACCCACTTTTACTCTGCAAGAGTAACAAGAATGCTAAAAAAATCTGAAACATTATTGAAATCTTGCAGGGAAAGCGTACAAGTACTGCTTCGAACCATTTATGATGAACCCCCCCCCCACATTTTAAGACTGATTCACATACATGCCCAACTATGAATGAACATACACATAGGCATAGGCCCTACATGCAATCACATTCAAAGGCTGGCTTTTGCCATAAATGTCATGTGACAAATTTCCTTCTCATTTGTACACAGAATTAACTGTCTATGCAAGAAACCATTCTCATTCTGGCAATTCACAATGAAGTGTACCACCAAGTATGTACCTTGACTGACATAAGCCACCTTCAAATTAACAGTGTATTGAATATTTTACCCAGTATTCATCCTAATTATGGTATAAATACCTTGTGTATTACCATAAAAGATCACAGGAGCGCTTGTTATTTACAAAAAAAATTCACTTACAGGGTCCATAGATTTTTTTGCCACTTTCTTATTTCTTAATGCACTTCTTTATCGCATGCTGTGATGTTATTCCGGTAAATCACAGTTCAATTTTAAGGGTTTTCTGTTTTAAATGTGAACCCGGAATTCTATCATGTAAAAATCTGCAAGAAAGGGTTTCTCGGCTGCTAACTGCCATACACACATCAGCGAATCACAAAAGATACAAAAATTTACCAATTTCAAATATAAAAATTTGGCATGTTTGAGCTTAAGTAGCTGTAACGCAGCTGCAGCATCTGCTATTGAAGGTAGAAATTTGCATCAATATAAAAAGTTTCAAAAGGAGTCCATCAGCCTTAATTAAAAGTTAAAACCCACATAAAGATAGTTCAAGGATTCTATGAAAAAGTTACAATGCACAGGTCCAAAACATAAAAAAAACCACTTAGTGAGGTAAATATCAATTCAGTTTGTTCATAATGCCATCAGAACACTTTGCTTCTCAAAGGTAACTCCAGTTGGTGTCATGCACTATAACTCACTCATATGCTGTCCCTTCACAAAGCATGCTCTGCAGATTTAACAAGAGAGTGCCCTTTGAAACATGCCTAAAATTCAGTCCGAGTCCCCTCTCCACAACCGCTGGTGAAGGCTCATCTCATTTTCACATTACAAGGAAAGGAAATGCAAAGCATTCTGGGTCACCACTAGCCACTATCCCCACACTGTATGAATGTTGAGTTTGACCTCTGTTCCCCAGTTCAACTAAATTACTGCAATGAGAAATCAAAAAAATCAGCTAAACAACTAGCACCCTGGAAATGGTGGCAGGTTATCAGAAGCAAAGAAATCTTGAGTAGGAAAAAGTCTTTCGGGGAAATTACATTCCTAGCCAATGTTGCAGGCCCTACAATTCATCATTGGTGGCTTTTTATTGAATATCTTTGGCAGCATGTTACCTTGTTTGTCATGTCTATGGGACTGTTCATGGGACTCACTACGTCCACTACTGCTGATGTCCCGCCCATGTCCATTAGTAGTGGCATTAGATGGAACCATGCCCCTTCTATTGTGCTTCTTCCCTGCAAGATATCAAACATAATTGCTCTCAGTGAATAGGCAAGAATGCCACAGTTTTACAATTTTTACCTTCAATTTCTAGGGTTTGCAGAGGACAAGTTTAAGCACTGTGTATTTCTCTTTGCAATGTGTCTTGATTTACTGGGAATTCCTCCTTTGGACTTTAGAATACGGAAGATTTGCCATATAACATTGAAGTTGATCTCATTCTTGAGTTGTGTCGTTCTGACAAGAACTAGTTGTTTCCAGTCTTTTCCTTTGGGTTTTGTTAACAAAAATGTAATGATGCATCTTCTGAATCTGCAAAGAGAGTTAACCAACGACTCCAGTAAACAAGGAAAACATTTAGTAAAATTACAAAGAAATCAGAACATGATCCAAGCAGAATGCAGCTTGTTAACCCAACCTTGAACACAGCTTTTTATGCTCAAGGGCAATCCATCTAAGCATTGATATTTGAATGCTGCACAGCTTTTCATTTTATATTCATTTGTCGTAAGACCATTCAGAGAATCAACAAAGATTAAATGTACATGCGTACATATAGCAGAAAATGGCATTGTACAAAGCAGTTGCAAAATAAACATATCTAACAATGCGTACCTGAATTGATTATGGTATAGAGCAGCAGTGTGCAGTTAATGGGTAGATACTCGATTCCCTTAAGGGGCATGGGAAATAAAATACTACATAATCTTGACAGCTTGAACCTTCAGGGAATAACTTAAAAATCGAGTTATCGGAATTTCAAGCTAACAAAATTTACCAGGTCATGTAGTCATACCAGGCCTTTGCATGGCATACGTAGGCAAAAGCAACTCACTTCACAGGAAGGCATTTTTGTAGTTATTTCCTTTGCTTTGTAAATTCTAATGGTGTACAGTTTTCAAGATGTATTTTTGCATCGGGGAGATGTTAATTTATATAATGGGTTTTTGCCCTTACCCAACGTATATATCAATAAACACTGTATGCTCAGCGCTTGTCCGAGAGCTTGCGAAAAAAGTCACAAGCACTAAGCATACAGTGTTTATTAATATATACGTTGGGTAAGGGCAAAACCTGTTATATAAAGTGTACAGTTTTGCTCATGAATTATCGTTTTTCTAAGATTTAATGTTGTTACCTAAAAGTTTCTTTTCTTTTGGTAACAAGCAATAAACACTGCACCTTTGAGGGGCGTAGCTTTCATGTTTGATCTATTATTGTAACAGTGCAATGCATAGTGCATAGTAGGGGTATGTTTTCACTTGGGCTTCTCTAGTATGTGCAGTCATATGACCTTTCCTTCTGTGGTCACATGATATGGCTGCCTCTGAGTCAGTGATTGAACTGCCTGCTGGAGGGCTACAATTGGGATCCTGGTTGCAATCAGGCTAGCTTGAAAGCCAGGATTTCTTGCAGC